TTTTCTGCAGAAAAAGATAGGCCGCTGATCCCTGTCATCTTGCTTTCAGAAGGGTGGTTTCAGATGAGGTTTGAGAGACAGGCAATTTATGCTGCTACTGGAACCTTGTCTAGAGTTTGTCTTAATCGACTTTGTCCCCCCAATTGTCTCAACAAGGATTGAGATCAGAGCCCATTTCCTCTCAAAACTTCCTTTTGGTTTGGGGTATGACAAAGGTGAACCAAAGCTACTTGGCCCTCTGTTGACACTGTTAATGCTGTTATCCCTGAAGAGGCATATCTGTTGTAGCTGCATGAACAAGGGGAACCCACCCTGCAAGAGTGGTGGTGGTTTCTTACTGAGCCAAAATCACTCTTTGGTGGTCTTTGGCCCTTGGTATAAGCCCTTTCTGTTTATTTCAGTTAATCTTTGATTATTTTCACTTCCCCTTGTAATCTGCTTTTTCTTTAAGGTTGGGTTTTAGCTCATTTTATTGTTTAGCAGCATGTAGTTCTCTCCAAGGCAGTGAGACCATCCCTATTTTTTTAAATTGTATAGCAACTTGATATATAAACCATGAGTGCTGTATGTGTGTATACTACCCCGCCTCAAAAAAAAAAAAAAAAAAAACTAACCAATGCCCACACTACAGAGCCAATACAGCTAGGAAATGATAAAGTAGAATCAATTCCACCTTATTCAACATTAACAAAATTGTCACTTAAGTTCCAGAATTCTTCATGATGGATGAGTTTAGATCGCATGTTGAATTTGTTTGCAGGGCTGGTAGTTGGACTTCGTCATATAGAAGTATATCACTTTTCTATGTTCACCCTTTACGAAATCATGGAGTATTAAAAATTATCATGAATAAAATTATTACATTTTTACACTGAATAAAGTTAAACATCTGGAAAAATATGTAGTAAAAGCCTAGATGCAAACTCTAGGGTCAATTTAGCATCAGGGTGCTGTACTATCTAGATCTAACAAGTCTTCTGGCATACTCATTAGTGAATAGTATCTTCTTAGTAATCTCATAGAACTGGTGAAATATAAACGAGAATGATGGTATATAGATTTACATAGGTAAAATGTCTTTGCACTATCTAATGCTCTTAAACAATCCCTAAATTAAGAACATTGCTAAATAAAAATATTCCATTGTAGAATTTTTAAGTGATGAAATACAGCTCACGGAAGAAAAAACTCACTTTGAATTTATGGAAAGAAAGAAGAAAAAGAGAGAAGTGCAAGAAAGGAAAGCTGACTTACTGAAAGAAGAACTGGAGAAACTGATGAAAGCAGGACAAACTCGACCTACAAATGATGTCCCAATAAGGAAGAATAATCAGGAAAAAGTTGTAGCAGAAGAGAATAAAAAGGAGGAAAGAAAAAGTAAACAACCAAGTGACAAAGGAGCAGCGGATGATAAAAGTGTAACTCCAACTCAAAATAACAGAACACCCACTAGACTAAAAAAACAGTATACATTCACAGAAGCCACTGAAAACTTGCATCAGGGGCTTCCTGCATCAGGTCCAGTGTCCAACACAGGCAGCCTCCGCAAAAACAGACAAACAGGTCGGCACCAGAGTGAGACAGCTGAATTGAAGGCAAGAAATTCATTTGGCATATATGAGCCATCATTTGGTAAAGTTACCAAAACAAGGCAGAAAGATGCAGAGGATGGAAGCTATGTTCGTACAACACTAATAGAGAGGAAAAACTCTCTTATGGAAGAACTCTTTGGACCAAGCTATGTCTTAAACAACCATTCAACCCCTAACACAAAAGGGCTTGATAAAGAACAAACAATTGTGGACAATGAAAGGTTACATAATTATACAAGTGAGATTTCAAACACTGATACTGGTCTGCAATGTGGAGATTCTAAACTTACACTAGGAAAGTCTAAACTAACAACTTCATCCTCAGACATAAAATAGTTTTAATATTCAATTGATGTACAAAGTTAAATTGTTTATCTTTAATCTTAAAATATGCAATATGTTTAACATTTGTTGAAAAGCAGTGTGTTGCCTACCAGTTTTGTTTTTTTGCCTTCATTATTTGTAAGATTTCATTTAAATCTTATTAGAATGTTTACCTGAACCATTCTTCAGCAATAAAACTGAAATGGAATACTCAGTTACAGGAGAGTATTTCTCTACAAGTGCCGTGTCCCAATGCTTATGCATGCTACTCAATTGGTTGAACACTCTTGGGCATATTAGAATGTACCATAATAAAGAATATTAAAACCATGTTTATGCTAGCTGCAGTGAAAGGCTGTCAAGCTGTTGAAGTTGTCTGGAAGAGTAACATTAAAGGGCTTGTGCTACAGAACAGTGAAAAGACAAATAGGATTGAAATACCTGTTGGATTTATGGGGCAAAATTCTGCCCCTCTGAAGTCAGTGGGGCCAGGATTTCACACCCGTTTTAAATATTTGTGTAGGTTTTAAATCTGAGCCCCTAAGTCTAGCAAAGCACTTAAGCAGTTTCATAACTTTAAGCACAAGTAGTCCCAGTGACTTCACTATGACTATTCCTGCTTAAAATTATGCAAGTACTTAAGTACTTTAGTGGATCAGGGCCCATATAGATATATAAAGTGCTTTTTTTAACACTATAAAAGTAATCATATGTAAGCTGTTTTTACCCAATAGTGGCAGGACTAAAAGCTGAAGGATTTCAGTGATCTTGTATTAGAATAAGAGAACACATTAATTCAAATTGCTGCGAGTTTAAAGTTGAAATGCTGGGGACAGACAGCAGACCTTTATTGGTGAAAGGTCTTCAGCTCTGGAATTCAATCATCCATAGCATCCACCAATGCTCAAGCAGGACAGGCAGCCATTAGGGTAAAATGCAAGATCTTTCACTTCAATCTGGATTTCTATGTGAGATTTTTTCAGCTGGCTGAGGTGACTGATTTGCTTTTATGGTCATTATTTGGCCCTGATACAATAAAAGTTAAAGTTCAGTCCTGAAATATCTTCCAAAATTCAAACAAAATTATATTTTCACCAGTTCCAGAAAGCTCTGAAGCTTCATTCGTTGCCACTGAAAGTTAGAATTCCTCAAAGCACCCCATCCCAACCACAGGACTCAGGTGATGAAGTCTGCACTATTTTGCCCATTGAATGTGTTGTTTTGGAAAAGTAGGGGATGTCCACTTCTCAAATAGCCTTGCCTTTGTTCACTGTTTTTTTTAAATCTGTAGTCACTTAAAGTAGGATATTTCAGATATGTAGCAAGGGTCAGAAAGGGAAAAAAAATCTGTCTGATTTAATTTTCAAAAAAGTCAAGGACATTTAAAAACAGTAGAGTGAACATTAATTATCCTGTAACAGATTCTAGTCACTTTTCAGGATTAAGATACCCTGCATGTGTTCACATAAGAGTAATTTTCTTGGCACTTGATAGCTTTTTTCCTAAAGATAAAATACTTTGATTAAACTTTGCAATGAAAAATTTCAAAGATGGTTGGTAGTGTGATCAAAAATGCATGGGGAAAGAATATCTATGAAATGTCAATATTTCTCGTGTGATTATAGCCATACCCAGCATATGGAGCAGTCACATTCAAAAAATACTTAAACCAACAACTTTGTTCACAGTTCTCAGAGCCCAAACTTCATTGCTCTTGCTCTCACAAGGAGTTTGATTAAAGAAATCAACAGGATTACTTGTATGAATAAATAGAGCAAGACTTGGCCTAGTAAGTGTAACCAAAATAGACAACACAAATCTACTGCTAAAGCAGCTTTTCTTTTGGAAAAAGATGCTGCTCCTACTGGTCTTGCTGCTCTTTCACTTCAAAACAAATGAAATGCAAGACTTTTGAGCATCAGCAGATGCATCTAGGGGACCAGTGTTAATAGCATGGTTAAAATAATCTACTTTTAGTGCCTCAAAGTTTGTGTATGTAATGCACTGTTTCCTTGTTTATCTCCTTAGGTAGCAACTACCAATTATCTACCAATATAATGCTCATTAATCTTTTCAAAAGTTTTAATTAAAATGAATATGGAAAGAACCACCTTATTTAATTAATAAAGAAACCATGCACAGCAGTTCTCAATCCCTGTATTTTTTTCTTGGTGCTGCATATTTTATCCATAAATATTAATACTGGCTCAACATAACCAACAAAAAAAACAAATTAAAAATTAACATACAAAGAAAAACATTTCATGCACACACACAGAACAGATATCATGACCTTAAGAATTCATTCCTAAACAAAGTGTTCATTTGGGGGAGGGATGAGAATCAGGCACACCCCGCTAGGACTATTAAGGGAACTGAATGTAGTGGAACAGATGCAGGTCCCTTGCACAGGGAAAGCAGGTGAGCCAGGGTTCCTGGAACTTATGCAGGAGTGATATGTACCCCTTTCCACATGAGTTTTTTCCATGCCAGTGTAGAGGCATGCAGGGCTTGTGGATCAAGGACTCTGCCAATCCACTGACCACTGGCCTTTCAGGAAAGGAATGACATGGGCAGCAGACAGTGTAGCCAAGCAGTTGCAAAACAGTTTATCACTGTTCGGCAGGCTAGTAGGGAGGCCCTTCCCCTGCAGGACCATATGCATCCAGCCTGTTTACTGTAGCTTAGCACTGGGGAAAAGAGGATTCACTCCAAAAAGTAAAGTTTTTCCTCTGCTAATTATCATTTTCTTCAAGATTTTCTATTACTTTAGAAATCTAAGTCCCTGACTTACTTTTTTACCTTGCAGACTATCTTGGGCTATCCTGGAAGATGACATTACTCATATTTTGAAATGTTAGTGATTGCTCTTCCTTCTGAAGTTTAAACATTTCCTGCTTCTCCTCCTCAACCATGAAACAGGAGGAGACTGGCCACATTGTTCCTTCCCAAGACAGTACAAGTTGAGAGATAGGGGGAAGAGAAGTACTTTGAGAGGGAGAATCAGGTCTGGGGCTAGGAAGAGCCATTTCGGAGAGGAGATATAATACGTTCAAACAAGTGGGTCTCCATTGTCATTTGGAAGCAGACAGGAACAAGTAACCAGCCACCACATATCTGGCAGTTGAGAGAGGGCCAGGGGACAACTTTAGATTTCAACTAAATCAGCAGTGCATCTTCTAAGACAGCCCACGAATGCTGAAGTCTGCAAGGTAAAGTCAGGAAATCACATTCTAAAATAAACAAGCAGTAAATCTACCTCCCTACTCCACCAAAAGAAAATTATACTTCTCCCAAATAAATAGTAAAGCCCCAAAAGAATCCCCACCCACTCTGTAATTCACCTTAAAAAGCTATAGTTAATCCAGCATTGCAGCTGATTCTCAGTGAAATTGTAGTGACAAATTCTTGTTTCTGCAGTTAACCAGTGTATATACTAGCCATCAACAACAAAAAATGAGGCTTTATCAAGAGTAATATTATTCTTTAAAAGTTGTTGACTAAGAACTTGAGGGCTAAGTCAAGGGAAGAATGTATGACCAATAAACCTTATTGATAAATATTCAATTGAAATAATAAAAGATGAAAATTAATTCATGCTTAATTATTACACTGTATACAACAATTGCTTCCTTAGATAGAAAGGGCTTTTCTCCCTTTATACACCAGGAGTGAAGTACTTAGGGCAAGCTCTGTATTTTGTCTCTCGTAAAAGACTTCAGGACTCCACTTTCTAACTATAATAACGGAAATGCAGTTCAGAATTCTGGAATTCCTTCTCAGCTGAAAGGGTGAAGCATAATGGCCACAACTTTGTTGCAGACCACAAGCCAGCATGTAATTCCAACACCACCTGAGGAGAGAGAAAAGCATCGTATATTATTGTATCAGTAACTCTCAAACACACATCTCTAACTCTGGTAAGTAACTCAGGAAGTTTCAAAAATGAAAATTTTAAGAAATCAAGGGATAAAGTATTTATACCTAATTCTGAGAGAATCTGAAAGTCAGGGAGATGGTACTGAATTAGAGGTACAGTATGTACCAATGCGTGGCATACATATCCTGCAACTTCTAAACATATCTGTTGTGTGATTAGAGATATAACTTTGCTGTTGAAGATAAAGGTGAAATAGAAAGGGAGCACCAGAGTAGAACCTTCCTTTTAAATTTAAAAAAAATTCAAGGTGAGTAAAAGAATGTTTCCTGAAAATGCTCTATTTTTTTTAAAGCAATGTTTTAAATATGCATACCCAGGAAAAAAAACTATTAACTCCGTCACTACTGGACCCTCCCTCCAGATACTCTTGTGCTACTGTTTTAAATGGCCTTCCCACTAAAACCAACAGTGTTGACATATAGTAGTTATGTTTGGCAGAATAGAGTGTTTCCAGACTGAAGTACACCAGGAAGTTCAGCAACAATAAAGTGGTAAATAAAACCAAAAGGGAAATATGATTCTTCTTAAAAATTAAGTATTTCAAAACTAAAGAGAATTGTTTCCAAGTGAATGTACAGCTGCACACAAGTTTTTTTTTTAAAAAGTGTCAAATTCTTAGAAAGTAGAACAGTAATTTTTAACCAAAAGCTGGATTTTCTTGGCATCCCACAAAAGCTGCTTGACACTGACCAATCACATCCCACAATTCACTTTAGGCTGGCAAAGCAAAATAAAAAACAAAGGGAAAAAGTCTGGATGAGCTTTTAGTTCATCATGTGGTTGAGCATCTCTTTTTGTAAGTTTCTGCATTTTTATGCTACGTCAATTCAGTATCATGTTTAAAAAATGAAAATTATTTCCTTGGGCTAGAGGTGGAGAAACTATTATTTTCAATGGTTTTAAATGTCTCTGTACTGGGAGCAGCATAATTTAGAAGCATTTTCAAGAGCAATAGCCTTCCCTCATGATTATCAACTAAGACAAAAGAAGAGGATGAGAGAGATAATTGAACAGAACTGTTCAAAGCTTTATGTATTGTTTAAGTAAATGCCTTTCAAGGACTAATCCTTCCCAGCACCATAGAAACACAGTCCTGTCTCGGCAAGTTATCATGGTGAATAGGGACCATGCTCAAGAAAGCTTTTAAGTGTTAAAAAGATAGCAACATAATTTAGAATCCCTTGAAGAGGACACCATTGGCACATACAGGCTTAAAATAAAACCTGTCACCTGTGTTTTAGCTTACACACACACACACACACACACACACACATTGTTACATTGTC